CCTTCTCCTCAGAGCTGCTCTCCAGCCATTATCTCCATCCCAGGCCCCAAGGAGGGGTCCATCCCCCCTCCCCAGCATCACCTGGGTACCACCCCAGGGGCTCTGCGTGGGGTTTGGGGACTAAAGTGACATCCCAGTGCAGCAGCCCATGAGTGTCCTGTGGTGCTGAGCTTGGGAAGGATACAGCCCCAGTGTGACTCCAACCACCCCCACAGATGTCCCCAAGGCCACCAAGCCCCGATGTGACAGCGATGATCCCCGCCGGGGCTCCTTCTGCGAGCGGCACTGCACTGCCATCAGCAACGTGCAGGGTGACCTGGGCTGCCACCTGCACCGTCCCTGTGTCCCCCCAGGTAGGTTGGTCATGGGACGGGCTGGGCACGGGGCTCTGGAGGGTCCAACCACCCCCTGTCACCCCCCATCTTGCCTGCAGCCATGTGTCCCCTGTCCTGCTGCCAGCAGCACTCGGATGAGGTCTGTGAGAGCTGCGTGGTGAAAACCACCCTGACGGCTGAGAACGCCGTGGAGGCCAACAAACTCTCCAACAACTACAAGGTGGGTGCCCGTGGTGTGGGTGGGGACACCCATGGGTGCTCCTGGGTGGCTCCAATGGGTTTTCTTTTTCTCCTCCCTCCATAAAAACCAATAAATCTCTGTGCAGTTTGGCTTCAAGAAATGGAAGAGCCACGTGACAGCGCGACCTTGGGAGGACCGATCGGAGATCGTCAAGGAGCTCTACTCTGATCTCAATGTCATCAAGGGCTCTGGAGGTGGGTGGCCTTGGGGACAACCTTGTGCGGTGGCAGCGTGGATTTGGGATGGTGCAGGTGACAATCTGGTGACTCCCCTCCCACAGGATCCACAGTGACGTGTGGGAACATCTTCTACCTGCTGCTCTTTGGCTGGTGGCTCTCGTTCCTCTACGTCCTCGTGGCTGCCATGATGTTTGTCACCATTGTTGGGGTTCCTTATGGGTGAGCCATAGGTTTCCTGGCTGAACCCAAAGTGGTACTGATGGGTGCTGGGGTGGCCCTGTAGCTGGAGAGGACACATGTCCCCAACAGAGCTGATGCTTGTGTCCCCACAGGGCGGCTCTGCTGGGACCTGGCCAGGTATTTCCTCTGGCCCTTTGGCAAAGTGATCCAGAAAGTGGAGGTAACAGCACACCCTGAATCAGGACCTCATGGGGGGTGGCTGGGGTGTCCCATGCTCCACCCTGACACCCTCCATCTCCTCCAGGTCCCCAAATCCCACCAGGCACTGGAAGGGTGTGAGACCGGTGCCGGGGAAAGCTCAGCCCTGCTTGGTGGCCCCGTGACAC